AGCTATTATAAACCATTTGCAGAGATTTTAGCAAGCTTTGTTGAAGCTTTTAAAGTACCGTTCAGCTTCAGTTTGGAAGTGTTATACACTGATCCTAACGGGAGTGCCGATCAGTACTATTAAAGCTGAAGTCCAGCTTTGGGTACGTTTCATATAGTTCATTTGAGCCAAGCTGCCCGAAACGAACTATGTCCCTCACTAACATGTCAGGCCGCTGGGTATGCTGCACAAACTGTATGTAGCTGAGGCTACATACAGCATACAGTAGTGTGTTCCCGAGTGAGCCTACACCTTCCTGTCTCAGAGTGGTGGGCTGATGAAATCACAACCTCTGACTCAGCCAATCAGAGAAAGCTTTGTATTCATTGACAGAATATATCCCTTTCTATGGGTGGCTGAGCGCCGCTCAGACAGACTCTATTGTGTTCCAGGTCTGAGACAGGAAAGTCTCAGCTCGCACCAGAACACAGTACTGTATGCTGTATGTAGCCTCAGCTATATAGAGTTTATACAGCACATCCAGCAGCCTCACGTTAGTGAGGGACATAGTTCATTTGGGACATCTTGGCCCAAACGAACAGCGTACAGTGTACCAAAAGCTGGACTTCAGCTTTAAACCCAAAATCAAATATATTGCAGCTTATCAATCATTAGATGTGGTGGTTGTATTTTTTTTTTTTTTTAGGGGATTAGTACAGGGGCGGACTGACCATTTGGAAACTTGGGCACTGCCCAAGGGCCGGGGGTCAGTAGGGGGCCCCATGAGATGCCCCTGGTACCTTTTTCATAGGCTTTTTTGAGTTTGGGCAAGGACACAGGGGCCCCATGATCCCCTATTGCCCGGGGGCCCCATGAGCTGTCAGTCCGCCCCTGGATTAGTATTAGGTTCACTTTAGACATTAGCTTGAGAGTTAAGTGTTTAGGGCAGGGGTGTCCAAACTTTTTTCAAAGAGGGCCAGATTGGATGAATTGAACATGGTGGAGGGCCAAACATTTTTCCCGAACATTCTTTGAACCATTACAATTAAATGCAAATAAATTATTTTATGCCAAGTTAATTGCAAACGACATACTTTTCATTTCATAACATTAAGATCAACTGACAGCTGAGTTTTCACAATGTATTGAAAATACATTTAAAAAAAACTTACCTGCACTAATGTGAAGGGTGAAAAAGGTAGCTGGAGCTAAAGTCTCTGCTCGGCAGCCGGGGGGGGGGGGAAGAGAAACACACTTCACGCTGGAAGCCCGGCCCTGACGTCACCGCCCTCTGTCGCTCCCAGCGCGGCGCAGTCACGCATGCGCACTGCTCTCAAGCAGAAGACTGTCTGCCACAGAAGGGAGGGCCGTGCGACAGCCGCATTTACACAGACCAGGGAGAACGAGGCGCAGTCAGGCATGCGCACTGCCCTCTGCTCTCAAGCAGAAGACTGTCTGCCATAGAAGGGAGGGCCGTGGGAGGGCCACATTACACAGAGCAGGGAGGGCTGTTGGAGGGCCATATTAAACCAACCCCTGGGCCGTAAATGGCCCGCGGGCCGGACTTTGGACATGCCTGGTTTAGGGCTTGCTTAAAGTTTAGGGAGTACGTTTTAAACAAGCTGCTGGCAGGCTTCAGCACTACAGGCCTTCAGTCACAAAATGATCTCCATCTAGTGAAATGTTACATCCTACATTCCTGAGAGGAAGATTTCCACACTGATACATTGTTTTTTGTTCACTTACTGACCATTACATTGTTAAAGTGGTAGTAAACTGTTTTTTTTCACTTGTACCTACAGGTACTGTTAATATCTTCTAAACATTTAGGAGATATTTACATGTAAAGGAGTGCTCTGAAGGAACAGCATGCCCGTACCATTCCTTCAGAGCTGTGTGCCGTAAAATGTGACTCGTGCACACAGGCGTGAGAGTGACGTCATCCTGGCTCGGTCATTCAAACCGCCAGAGCCTGTGAGCCCGGAAGAAGGATCAGGTGAAGATAGAAACCCTGTCAGAGGTGACAGCGCGCCGCCAGAGGGCTTAATTTTAAGGTGTGACATAATGTACTAGTATGCAATGCATTATACCATTGTCTTCCAGGTTTAAAAAAAAAAAGTTTGCGGTTTACTACCACTTTAATGCAGGCCATAGACGGGTCGTTTATCGGCCGAATTTTAGTCCGCACGAAAATCGGCCGATATTTACGCCGTTAGTGGGGCAATGCCGTCGGCAATTTTTCATGGGTCTTCTCATTTCTTTTTATCGGTCATGCTGGAAAATCCACAGAAAACGGACGTTTTTCATAGACATTGGTGGCAGCATTGGCAACAACCGATTTTTCGTTTATCGGTCGACAATTCGGCCGATAAACGGACTGTCTATGGCCAGCCTAAGGCGTGTTTCACATGGGGCGGACTCTGTTTTGATCAGCAGAGTACCTGTCCGCTGATCCCTTGCTGATCAGAGCAGAGTGCAGCACATGACAGATCCATGTCCGCTCAGTTTATGCAGAGCAGACATAGACAAAGCTTGCTCTGCTCTATGGGCAGCCAGGAGTAAATGGACTCTGCTTTCTGTTTACACCGCCTGCCCTCTGATCTGATCCACCTAGATGAAGGAAAACAAATCACCTTCTGTTTTTTTTATTTAGCGGACTGGAACGGATTGGACACAAGTCCATTTACACCTGTTTGTCCATAGGGCTGGAAAACTGACAAGCGGACATGATCAGACCCTTTGTGTGAAAGGGGTCTAAGGGTCTGCCTAGACCAGTGCAGTGTTGATGCACTGATACTGGTGCATCGCTATGTTCCCACAGTGACATTTCATACAGCTCTGTTAGCCGGTGTGCAGTGACCCACGCTGCCCCGGAAATAAAGCGCCGCGTGGGGGGGGTCAGCACATACCACATGCAAATCACCGCAACGCAATAGTGTGACCCGGCCACACTGTAGATAAGGTATTTTACCTTGTCTTGCACTGGGGGTGCGGTGGGACTGGGCTGGACTAGCCACTCATTGCAGTCCCACCGCACCTGATGAGAATGGACCCTTAGAACATTCCTAAAATATTGACTGGCAGTCCTATAACATGAAATAAATAACAAATGAGTGGGGTTATTTTTTTTTTTATTGATTTTAATACTTTAGCTAATTTTTTTGTGGTACTTACCGCACTTTTTTTTTATGAACTTGCAATACTTACCTGAATTATTTTTATGAATTTCCAGTATTTACCTTAAATGTTTTATGAACTTGTGGTATTTGTCTCAAATTTGGTATGAATTTGCAGTATTTACCTCAACTTTGGTTTGAATTTGTAGTATTTAGCTCAATTTTTGTATAAATTTGCAGTATTTACCTCAATTTTTGAATTTGTGGTATTTACCTCCTATTTATTTTAAGAATTTGCAGTATTTACATCACAATTTTTATCAGTTTGCAGTATTTACCTCAACATTTTTATGAACTTGCAGTATTTACCTCATTTTTTATTAATTTTCTGTATTTGCCTCAAATTTCATATGAATTTGCTACATTTACCTCAAATTTTATATGAATTTGCAGCATTTCTCTCTTTATTATGAATTTGCAGTATTTACTTAAAATGTTTTATGAATTTGCAATATTTACCTTAGATTTTCTATGAACTTGAAGTATTTACCTCAAATTTTTTATGAATGTGTGATATTTGCTTCAAATTTGGTATGAATTTGCAGTTTTTACCTCAATTTTGTTTTCATTGAATTTGCGGTGTTTACCTCGCATTTGATATTTTAATCTGATGAACTGACTCTTTTAGTATTGCTATTTCAAGAAAAAAAATATTGCAAGCGATAATTGCTAGTGAATTGACCCCACTATCTGCATGGAGTTTGAATGTCCTGTTTACTTGAGTCACCCCAAGGTACCTGTATTCCTGTCACAGCTCAGAAGCATACCAGTCATACAAGCCAAGTCTGGGCTTCCTCCTCAGTCATGGCTGCTGCTTAGACCCTTCTGAGGTGAGATTGGTTCAGAGGCAGGACTATACCACTTACACACGTGTAAGGGAGAGGTGTGTACATGGGGGTAGAGGGCTATAGACACGACCAGTGCCCGCCACTATGGACATGGATGTAGATGTCACACAGGACTCCATGCACACTGTGGGAAATTTGCTCACAAGTGTTAGGCTTCACGCACACGGGCCGTTTTAATAACGCTGGTAACGTTAGCTGTGTAAAGTCATGTTAAAAACCTGAGTTTTTCAGTGTTTTTTAGCTATTTTGTATTAGCGTTTAGCAGCATTTTTTCACGTTTGCGGTTTTTAGAGTTTTTTACCGAAAAAATTTTTGTGTCAAAAAAAGGTCCAAAAACACTGGTTTGCCACGATGTACTGCAATTTACCGCGTTTTACAGCGTTTTTCCACATTAGAGCGTTTTTACAGCTAAAAACCTCCTCTAGAAACCCACCAATCCTTCTTTTCTTTTTCCAGCCAAAAAACGTTGATTCCAGTCCAGGGGCGGATTGACCATTGGAGAACTCGCGCACTGCCCGAGGGCCCGGGGTCAGTAGGAGGCCCCATGAGATGCCCCTGGTACCTTTTTCATAGGCTTTTTTGAGATTGGGCAAGGACAGAGGGGCCCCATGATCCCCTATTGCCCAGGGGCCCCATGAGTTGTCAGTCCCTCCCTGTTCCAGTCTATGTGTGCATGAACACACAGGAGAACATGCTGGGGAGTTTACTGGCCGTAAAAACGTCCCGTGTGCATGAGGACTTAACGTTCCCCCACAGGTTTCGCCTATGACATGCACACGTTGGAACATTGGCTCCAGATGAGACATGAGAATTGTATGTGCGCTACTTACTATCCATCCTCAGTGTACAGTGTACCCGGCACGTTCCATGTGCACTCCTCTGTGTGGAAACATTCCTCCCGCCTGTCCCTGCACTTCCTCCTGCGGCCGCCGGTGTCGCTGTACGCTGTGTGTATATATGCTGTGCAGGGCACTCTATGGACACGCACTAACACATCATGCTGGCTCTGTCTAGTAGGCTAATCCTCCGGGGCTGCCGGACCGGATCAATCACCGCATGGAGAGCCTGTAGCTCCTCCGAGGATTCTGCCAAGGAAAACCCCCTGGTGTACCTGGATGTCACGGCGGACAACAAGCCTCTGGGGAGGATCGTGTTGGAGGTGAGAAGTGTTGCTGCTAATGACTTGTTGCAATGAGTTCTCTGTGACTTGTTGGCAGCACTCAAGAGTGATCGGTGCAGGAAGTCCGGGTGTCAGAGCTGTCAGAACGCCGGGCCTACACACCACTACCGGCATATCTCTGGACACCTGTCACCACCACCGGCTTGTGTACATCACAGCTGACCAATACTAGGGGGACCAACACCATCATTATTATTATTGAGCTGATCAATACCAGGGGGACCACCATCATTACTATTATTATTGAGCTGATCAATACCAGGGGGACCACCTATCATTACTATATTATTGAGCTGATCAATACCAGGGGACCACCATCATTTCATTATTAAGCTGATCAATACCAGGGGGACCATTCATTATTATTATTGAGATGATCAATACCAGGGGACCAATACCAGGGGACCACCGCCCACCATCATCATCATTATTGAGCTGAGCAATATCAGGGGGGTATAATTATTATCCTTATTGTTCTTATTATTGATGGTGTGATCACTGTATGTCTTAACTGCCTTGTTGACTTCCTTTTTGTTTTTTTATTCATTCGTGATTTTTTTTTTTTTTTTTTTTTAATAGGAGACTGATCTTTATCTGTAGAGTTTGATTGTATGAGATCTAATTCAAATAAACAGGAGACTAATGTTGGTTTAGGAGTCTTCGTTGGCACTAACCTACCATCAGGGTATTATAATAGTAAACTCTTAATAGGGATGAGTGACTTTAGGGTGTCATGTGACTAGAGCCATGAACCCGATGTAGCATGAGGGGTCGTTGTACTGCTAATATCTGATGTAACATGTCCTGTCTCAAGGTCATGCTGCATGTTGTCGGAGCTGCTCATGTGCTTGTTATTACAGATCTGTTTGTACAGTGAGCCCAGCAAGGTGACCTTAGTGCGGTGTGTGCTGGGCAATGAGAGTCTGTAGACTTCCTGCCAGGAGGGAACTTGCTGGCTGGTGAATTTCAACGACTTTCACTTGTGTGACTTTCACTTGCGTCCGAATGCTGGCCCTCGGACGTGGCGTCCGGATGCTGGCCCTCGGACGTGGCGTCTGGATGCTCCAACATACCGATCCTTATTATTATTATTATTATTATTATTATACTGTGTATTGAAGTATTCAAGTAGTTCTGATGTGTTTTGGAACTTTAGCATGATGAGTTTCAGTTAGTAATTGAATGATAAGCCACTTGGGAAGGTACCTACCTGTGCACACATAATGTCATGGTGTTTGCATGTGTCTTTGCTTTTTATTACAGGTGTTCAGAGATGACAGTGTCATTAATTGTTGTTCTCTGCGCAGTGAACACAGCTAGAAACTTGTCGTGACTAGTTTGATAACGGACCTAAATCACTGGCCCAATAAGGTTCTGGCTATTTTCTGTTAGATTGTAAGCTCTTGTGAGCAGGGCCTGTCTAACCCACTTGTTTTGATTTGTAGTGTAATTGTTCTGTCTCCCTTTTTATAAAAGACCCTACGCACCAGTCAAGCTGTCTTTAACCTGTGTGCACATATTTGGGAGGTTCAGGAAACCCCTTTGTTGCATAGGTTGGAGGTTCAGGAAACCCCTTTCATTGGATAGGTTAGCAGTTCACGAAACCCCTTTCATTGGATAGGTTGGCGGTTCACGAAACCTCTTTTTATTGGATAGGTTGGCGGTTCACGAAATCCCTTTTTCTTGGATAGGTTGGGGTTCCAGTGTGTGTCATTTATCACCCCTGGTAACCAGATCTCTGATGCCACACTTTCTCATATGGTATTCTCCTACGTTTTGCATTCGTGGGGTAAAAATGAGATGATGGCCCACCCATGAGATGTCTGATCTGAGTCCAACAGTGTCCTAAAACTGTGATGATGCTAGAAGGTGATAATGTTTTTGTTTTTTGTTTTTTTTTCTTTCTATCTGTGGATCTGTGGTTTGCATACATTGTCCATCTGTGAGTTGATGGACAGTCTCTGCAGCAGGGAGAGAAGTGATTAACTGCATTTGTTGGCTGAAGAAAACCCAGCAAGTTGAAGAACACATAGCATGGTTAAGGTGCCATCAAACATACATTGCAGTGCTTTGCGCCATCATTGTCATATCCCAGTTATATATACATGTCCTATATATCTCAGTGCAATTTTTTATGAATGTTTGATTTTTTTTTTTAATGTTTGCTAAGTATATGACTTTATGTAAATGTATTTAATATTTTATTTTTAAATTATGAAGTATGAATTTGAGCATACTCTTGTTATGATATCCTGTTTTTAGCATTGCTGTCTTTATACATGGCCCTTTCCGGACAAAAAACTGCTTGTAATGTGACATTGCACTATTCCTTTTAAGTTTAGCTGAGCTTTGCTGTCCCATGATGAATACATGCTCTATTTAAGCAGTTTCTAACCCTAGCATTATCAGGCCTATAGAAGGAGCTAGAGGTTCAGAGCGCGTAGCCTGTTCTGTGTTCCTGAGATCTCTCTATTGACCCTCCGACTTCTGGTGACTTCGCCTCCGCCGGTGCGTTCCACGCTGGTTGTGTGGCCATTTCTGGGTTACAGATGCCTATCCATACACCCCCGGGAGATTCCCTCTACTACACCCACGGCTTGAGCTGTCACTCTGACATGCCCGGCGGTACCCTACAGGACGGAGGAGAGTGGTCATATGCTCTAAACAAATGCGCTCAATTTTATCTTTGTTCTTGTGAGTGTTTTTATACCTATCAATATACTGCACTTAGTCTGGCGCCTCCTGTTCCTCTTCTTCCTAATCTGAGTCAAACAGTGTCCTCCCCTTTTTTTTTTTTTTTTTTTTTTTTTTTTTTTTATCTGTGGTTCACATACATTGTCCATCTGTGAGTTGATAGTCTCTGTGCAGTGGGGAGAGAAGTAATTAACTGCGTTTTGTTAGCTGAAGAAAATCAGCAAGTTGAAGAACACATAGCATGGTTAAGGTGCCATCAAGGACAGGAAGATGTCTCCCCATCTGTTCTCAAGGCGTCATCTGCAGTTCTTGGGTCACCCTTTTCAAAACTGTTCAGCTTTGTTGTTGCTTTCAGCTTGGGTTCAAACAACCAAACACATCTTTAAAAAAAAAGGGGGTTGCTTAGCAGTTTTCTGTACTTATATTTTAGCCAGGCATGATAACTTTTTCCTTTTGTGCCATTTAACAGGTTTAAACTTTTGTTCCACCGCCATACTCTTTGAGCAATATTGCAGGCTGCATGTGAAGTTCCCACTTAACTGAAAATCGAGATGGTGTGTGCGTGTGTAATCCCTGTCAGCAATTATATAAAGTGTGTGTGTGTGTATTTTTTTTTATATATTTATATATATATATATATATATATATACATACATACACATACACAGTCAGGTCCATAAATATTGGGACATCGACACAATTGTAACATTTTTGGCTCTATACACCACCACAATGGATTTGAAATGAAACGAACAAGATGTGCTTTAACTGCAGACTGTCAAGTTTTAATTTGAGGGTATTTACATCCAAATCAGGTGAACGGTGTAGGAATTACAACAGTTTGCATATGTGCCTCCCACTTGTTAAGGGACCAAAAGTAATAGGACAATTGGCTTCTCAGCTGTTCCATGGCCAGGTGTGTGTTATTCCCTCATTATCCCAATTACAATGAGCAGATAAAAGGTCCAGAGTTCATTTCATTCATGCTATTTGCATTTGGAATCTGTTGATGTCAACTCTTTAGATAATATCTGCTCATATTCAGCCAAATGCTTCACAACTCATTGGACGCCGCTTCACAGTGCAGATGGACAATGACCCAAAGTATAATGCAAAAGCAACCAAAGAGTTTTTTTAGGGAAAGAAGTGGAATGTTATGCAATGGCCAAGTGGAATGTTATGCAATGGCCAAGTCAATCACCTGACCTGAATCCGATTGAGCATGCATTTCACTTGCTGAAGACAAATGAAGGGAAAATGCCCCAAGAACAAGCAGGAACTGAAGACAGTTGCAGTAGAGGCCTGGCAGAGCATCACCAGGGATGAAACCCAGTGTCTGGTGATGTATATGCGTTCCAGACTTCAGGCTGTAATTGACTGCAAAGGATTTGCAGCCAAGTATTAAGAAGTGAAAGTTTGATTTATGGTTATTATTCTGTCCCATTACTTTTGGTCCCTTAACAAGTGGGAGGCACATATGCAAACTGTTGTAATTCCTACACCGTTCACCTGATTTGGATGTAAATACCCTCATATTAAAGCTGACCATCTGCAGTTAAAGCACATCTTGTTAGTTTCATTTCAACTCCATTGTGGTGGTGTATAGAGCCACAAATGTTAGAATTGTGTCGCTGTCCCAATATGTGTGTGTGTGTGTGTGTGTGTGTGTGTGTGTGTGTGTAATTTATTTAGTGTAACGGAGCGTAGGCAGGACAGAACACACAAAGAAGATGGTAAAACACACAAAACTTTATTGGAAATATGGAAGGCAGCATCCAGGTGCCAAAAAGGGAGAAGAGAGGGGAGGAGCCCAAAATAATTGTAATCCGGCCCACGATAGGGCGCTTCGGGTAGCGATTGGCTCCAGCACTCGTGGCCAGGCCAGGTAGCTATAATCCAGGCACGCAATGGGGCAGTTCAGGCAAGGGTAATCTGGGCAATAGGAGCAGTTCATAAGGGTAATCTGGGCACACAATAGGGGCAGGTCATGGCACTCCGCAACATGCGGCTTCTAGGGACACTCAAGGTAAGCGGCTTGCAGACTCTCAGCAGCCGGTGGCTTCTAGGAACACTCGATCAGTAGACAGGGACCCTCACGGGGCTCAGCTTTCCAGGGACAACATCAGGCTCACGGGAACTCAGCGGGATCTTGGCTGTGGGGTCTGGCCTCAGTACAGCCCCCACACAGCTCTCTAGGGACAACATCAGGGTCATGGGAACTCAGCAAAATCTTGGCTGGGGCGGTCTGACCTCAGCACAGCCCCCACACAGCTCTCTAGTGACAACAGCAGGCTCATGGGGACTCTCGGGTTTATTTACTAAAGCTGGAGAGTCCAAAATCAGACTCCCTTCTGCATAGAAACCAATCAGCTTCTAACCTCAGCTTGTTCAATGAAGCTTTGGCAATGAAACCTGGAAGCTGATTGGTTTCTATGCAGAAGGGAGTCTGATTTTGGACTCTCCAGCTTTAGTAAATAAACCCCTCAGCGTCTAGGGAGGGTAATGGGGGGGCTCGCAGACAGTCCAGGCAGAGAAAAGTAAGGGGGGGGGCACGGACAGTTCAGGCAGGGGAAACGGGGGTATGGACACTCACAGTTCTGGCAGGGGTTCTTTCTGGCTCCCAGCAGCAGGCAACGACAGCCCTCAGTACACGGCATGTAATCCACACAGCAGGTAGTTCTGGCACACAGCGGCAGCGGGCATCCTGGCACACAGCGGCAGCAGGCAATCCTGACTCAAAGCATTATTTAGAGGAGCAGGCACTTCGTGATATATATATATATATATATATATATCTCTCAGCACAGTGGCTAAGTGGTTAGCACTTCCACCTGGCAGCACTGGGGTTGTTGGTTCAAATCCCAACCATGGCACCACCTGCTTCGAGTTTGCATTGAGGGTTAGAGACTGATGTGAATGTACAATATATATGTAAAGCGCCGCATAAATTGACGGCGCTATATAAGTAACTGAAATAATATACATACAGTATATACAGGGCAAGATTTTAGTTGTATTTCACAATTGCTGGCATAATCAGACAATATGCACAGACAGGTCTGGTTATAAACCCTGCAGCATTTGTGTTATAGCAGCTAAGTTTTCAGAATAATCCCCAACTCCTGAAATGTTGTTTTTCCCTTCATTCAGTGTTGGTAAATCACACCCCATAGCATATCCATCTGATAGAGGATCAGATTTATTTTCTACTAAAACCTTAATCCAAAAATCAGGCGTTTTAATATTGACAAAGTCTATAGATCGAGTTATCTGCTCTGCCTTTATTTACAGACAAGGTGTAATACAGAAATCCTGGTAGCTGTAGCAGGTAGTCAGCAATGTTGTGGGTGTGTTCAGTGATACTTCATGATGAACTTCCCTCTTGAGTCAGCATTTTTGTCACGTAATAGATTTGGATTTGAAAACATCGGGACTTGATCCAACAAAAACCATTTCATCTTTCTAAGGAAATGTTTTATAATTCTGTTTTACCTGTAATACTGGAAATGTGGTTACCCATGCTCCTTCAGAGTGACTGCTTCATATTTGTGTTCAGTCTACACATCGAGTTAACACCTCTGATTGCATACGTTCTTGGCAATATAGAGAGTGACGTATGCTTGTCTTTTGACCTGCTGATGATAGGTCCCACATAGGACTTTTCACAGAAAGGGTCATGGCTTTTGTGAATTGGGCTCCATGCACCATGAATTAAAACACCAGTGTCCAGGCGGATTTTGCAATGTATATCTAAATGCACCTGGAAGCATGTAAATTCTTTGCTATTTCTAAATGAACATTTAGCGGCTTCCAAATAAATTCAGCTGCATTTTTATCATAATACAGGATTTATATAGCGTCAACAGTTTACGCAGTGCTTTACAACATAACGAAACACTGTACAATTTAATACAGGAGGGATCAGTGGGCCCTGCTCTCATTTACACAGAATATACATTTTGGCATCCCAGGACAGTTTATCCCAGTCTTAGATGGCTTAACACATACAGTATAACACAAGAAAACTGACCCTGGATGCATAAACGTTGTATATACTTGCCAGGTAACTCTGGTGTTTAACACTGGAGACACAGGAGTCTCAATGGGACCGGAAGCAGAACCTGTCATGACTGGGCTTGAGCCAAGCATCTTAAATCCGTTTTAAAAGTCTAGTTGTATGGTAAATGATGCCCAATTATTTAGTCCTGTTTACTTTGTGTTCGACTCATCGGCTTGCTAAGTCATGGGCGAGAGGTCATCTGAAGTCTGATGGTTGTAGTTCCATCAACTGGCTGATCTACTGACTACAATGCATGCTTAGAAGTTTATGGCTGCCATAACGCTTTGCTTTTTATCTGGTCGTTGTAAGATTCAATCAAACCATCAAGCAGTTGATTATGCATTACTTCCAGTTTGAGTAAACTGAGTCGATCAACCAGGATGGAAATGTATAGTTTGTTAGTTTTGAATCGATCAGTGACTCTGAGATGCTTTTTTTTTTTTTTTCTTTTCATAAAGATGATCGTATCTTCCAACTATCAATAGAAATCTACCTCCTCTTGTGTGATATCAATCAAATAGAGTGTCAACTATCGCTTGATTTAATCACATTGGGGGAGATTGATCAGGGAAAAAAAGTCGATCATTTATGGAAACTTTGTATGAACATCATTAGACAGCATGTACCGTATAGTCAGACAGTAGGTCTCTGTGCACACCTCTGTGATATTGCACACATTGGTCAATATATGGCAATGCACAGCAGTAGGATAACCTTCTATTCTATGAGGTTGGTCCACACCTGTATATTTCTGTTCCTTGCTTCTTGGGTGGGGGGAGGGCAAATACAGGTGTTCTTTCTAATAACAATATGTACTTTTAGCCCCATAGGCTTCAGTTAGAGTGCATGAAGAATGCAGTCTCACATGTGTGAACCTAACCTAAAGCTAAATTGGGGAAAATACTAACATCTCCTTAGTAAGCTTGCACAGTTATGATTGCTTACGTTTTAACATTTAGATTCTTAAATAAGCCAAATTCTGTTTAAATAATGAATGGTCTGGCAGCCGATTAAATGATCTCTTGCTCAAGTTCTCCTATTCTAGCTATGCCCCAGTGACATGTTGGGCTGCAGACATTGTAGTGAACATAGTACTTCCATAAAGTGCGTATACCACAGGCAGTACTGTACATCCTTGGGATTATACACTCAGATCTGTCTGAGCAAACCTCCAAAATATGGAGGATTGTTTTATACAAGTCCTGAAGTACATTTGCAGGTCAAACAAGTGGTAAAGGTTAGTGTGCTATGTAGCACTGTATGTCTATTGAAATCTGCAGGATACAGGACAGGAAGTCAAGTTCAAACATGCTACCGCATTCTCAGTGTTTATAATTGCTGCAGTCACATGTTTTCAAGACACAGAACTAAAGTAATGGTGCATAATACTGCTGCTGTAAATGTATACCTTCTTCTACACTTGTCTTTTATCCATGATGTATTTGAAAGTGTATTCTTTCTTATATTGCTGACATACACAGGTGCATACTCCTAATAATGTTGTGCTTTGAAGTGTATTTTAGATTTAAATTCTATATTTTTAGATTATAAACAGTTAAATAGTTTTTTTTTTTCTTTCAGTTGAGAAATGATGTCACACCAAAAACTGCAGGTAAGTGCTTATTAAATTTAATTGCACAACAATGGAAACTGGATAATGATAAAATACTCCCATATAGGAAACTGATCTATGTTGACAGAGGTTGCTGGAAAAGAGTTTCAGAAAATATAGTTACATAGTTTGGTTGAAAAAAGACACATGTCCATCTATTTCAACCAATAAAAGCAGGTTGGGGGGGGAACAATTATACAATCCTATACCCACAGTTGATCCAGAGGATGGCAAAAGAAACCTAATGAAACTTGATCCAATTTGTTCCAGCAGGGTAAAAAAATTCCTTCCTGATACCCAAGAAGCAATTGGATATTCCTTGGATCAACTTTACCTATAACTATTAGTATTCAGTTATTGTGTACATTTTAGGAAATAAACCAGCCCTTTGTTTAAAAAAAAAAAAAAAAAAAAAAAATTAGTTTAGCTGGTGGGAACCAACTCTTGAAGGTGTCTTATTCCACATTTTTCACTGCTTTTACTGTGAAGAACCCTTTCTGTGTTTGAAGAATAATTCTCTCTACCACCAGACATAAACAGTGCCCTCTTGTCCTCTGTGATGTCCTTAAAGTGAATAGCTACACTGAGTTCACTATATGGACCACCTATGTATTTATGCATGTTGATTATATCTCCCCTTTTAATCTCCTCTTCTCAAGAGCGAATACATTCAGTTCCTCTAATCTTTCCTCATAGCTGAGCTCCTCCATGCCTCTTATGAGTTTAGTTGCCCTTCTCTGCACTTTCTCCAGTTCCCCGATTTTTATCCTTTTTTGTGAATTGGTTCCCAAAACTGAACTGCATATTCCAGATGAGTTCTTACTAATGATTTGTACAGGGGTAAAATGATCTCTCTCGATATCTCTCTCAAAATAGGATTTTTATTCTTTTATTCCCAGACCCTATATCCTTTTATAAATATGTTAAAGTAAGGGTCCCAACACTGAACCTTGGGGTACACCACTGACAATAGTAGACCATTCAGAGTATGAATCATTAACCACTACTCTTTGAATACAAACCTTTGGCCAGTTTTCTATAGATTTACAAACTGATTTTCCCAAGCCTGTAGACTTTTACCTTAGCCAAGTGTGTCAAACACCTTTGCATAATCCAAGTATACCACGTCCACAGCCACTCTTTGTCTAAGGTTTTGCTTGCCGCCTCAAAAAAAAAAAATGAAATCAGATTTGTTTGACAAACTTCTGTTTTTTAAGAATCCATGCTGTCTGTTACTTAAAATATTTTTTCATGGGGTATGTGCACCTACTGTCCATTATTAGATGCAGGTCTTACTTTTGAACATTTGGCTCTTCTATGTTTAGGTGTGATCAGAGGTGTCCCTAGGGTTGGTGTCACCCAGTACGGTAAAACTTGGTGACACCCCCTTCGACGATCCCTGCTGAATGGATCGGATCTGCATAATGGATCGGACTCCAATCCATTATGCTCAATCTACAGATCCGATCCATCCTGCGGGGATCGTCGACTTTCTTTACAACTTACCTTTTCTTGGAACGGGTCCGGTGTAGCGGCAAGATGTGTCTCCCATGTAGATATGTCCCCCCTGAAGCAACTGCGCAGGTCCCGGTTGAAACCGGCTTGCTTTACAACTTACCTTTTCATGGAGCGGGTCCAGTGTCACCCGGTGCGGACCGCACCCCCCCCCACACCTGCCTCGGGATGCCACTGGGTGTGATATGGAGCTGCTGTTGGAAATCACAGGGCCCTATACTGCCTTTCTGACATTTACACCCCACCCCAAGTGAATATCAAAACTATATTTTTGCTAAAAATACACTAAAATCATTATTAATGGACACAAACACAACAGAACTTAAAAATTCCTGGTAAATATAAAAGAATAAGTTATTAGGTTAATAAACAAAGCTCTGTTTGAATGAGGAATTGGCAGCTTATGTGGCTGGAGCCACCTGGAGCTGTGTGCAGGCAGCCTGTATTACACTGTGGGGATGCAGCAGCTGTATGAACACAGCCGCAGGTCTTAATTTGACAGGCATGTGGGTGCAGGTGTACAGCTGCAAACACAGACTGTGTGCATTTGGGGCCACCCACCCACACCTGCACAACTGTCAAATTAGGACCCAACGTTGCGATGCTTTGTGGCAGGAATTTTACCCCCGTCAAACACAAAAATGGCGCTCTGCAGCCACATACAATGCATGCAGCTATGGCATGCTAGTGTGGGGCTGAAGGGATTATAGCAGGGGTTTAGGAAGCGATAGAGCACCTGTTCACTACCTGTCAAATGCTCCCTGAAAAGGGATCTGAATGCAGGTTGCTCTTCAGAGAGCAAAGCATGTGTGAGCAAGCCCTTATTTATTTTTAATAGGCCTGTTGGGGGCATTGGTGAAGTATCAGAGGTCTAAACAGACCTTGATGTCTTGATTTTAAGACCGAGAAAGGGACTGAGGACACAGTCCCTTTTCTGCAGCCTCTGCTGCACTGGAGTGGGAATGAACAAGAAGTGCTCTGTACAGAGGCTTCCTGTTCATTCAGACCAAAGCATGGTAAACCTTCTACTATGCTTCAGTTATAAATGAATACGAGTGATTGATTGGCACTAATTGCTCACTTGTTCATTGAGGACAAAGCGAGCTGGTAAATATTACATATTTACTGGCCCACCCACTCTCCATCCTGATACCAATCTTCCTGTGCCAGGTAGCAGCTGCAGCCAACAGGATGGATAGGTGAAGTATAATATACTGCCTTATCTGCAGCCCTGATCTGATGTATTCAGCTATATTCATTTGTAATCTTGTATGTCCCAGGGTACTACTAAATTCCTAATATCCCTATATTTGAGATGGCACAGAATGGTTTAGGTTTTTGCATTTTTATTTTTTTTTTTTTTGCCAGTTGTATGCATGATATATTGCTTCTCTGTATGCTATATTGCAGAGACTTTATCTATTCCTATGACTGAATATTTACAACACAAGTCTTTGGCAGCATTGATGTTGATACTTTTATATCAATTTCAATGCTAACTCTTTTTGATTAAAAACAATGTTTACAAGTGACAGTCTGGCCTTGCAGGTCGGTTTTTGGGTTAATTTCCCTGCAAGAACTTAGTCTGCAAGGCATCTTCTCCCTATGGTTTCCTTTTAAACCTTAAGGTTTTTACGTATCCGTAAGTTTGTCCGGTTTCTATTTAAAGCTTTTTACTTGATATGGACATTTCCTGTTCATTGTTACTCATTTTAGATGCATATGTTTTGTTGTGTGGTTTGCTCTACACAAAAACTAGTTTAAGAACTGAGTGTTTAATCTTTCCTCTTGCAGAAAATTTCCGATTGTTGTGCACTGGAGATATGGGCTTTGGTTATAAAGGCTCCACTTTGCACAGAATAATTCCTGACTTCATGTGCCAGGTATGTGTTAGCCTTGGGCAGCAATGATCACCTCGTTTTACTCTGACCCGCTTTTAACATTTGACACCCACAAAATCATTGTAACTACGTTTAATTATAGAAAAAAAAAAAAAGCTACTAAATTTCTTCTTTTGTAGTCCCTTCTCCTCCACCAGCTTCTGATTGCACAATGAAAGGATCAGAAAGATATTGCACACTGAAGGTCAACCTTCTGGTTTCTCCTCTTAGAGAAGAATGCTCAGTGTTTGTGACAGCACTTTACAAAAAAACCTACTTATTCCATGCCTGTCCAGCACCCAATCCCTGGTGCATCCCATACTAACCTCCTGTGCATCCTCTGGTGCCAAGTTAGGGCTCCTCCTAGACTTGTTTTTAGGGTGTGTTAAAAACTTTGTTGAGTCACACCCTCTTAAGCTGCAAAAGTAACTAACAGGGAATTCATATGCCATGGCTCCACTTCGAGTCCATGGCAAACATTATTGCCCCTGATATGTTCTGTGGATCGTATCGCTGCTGAACACAAGCCACGTAAACAAATAGGGATGCAGCAGAAATGCTCCTCAACTGTGTAATGCTTGCAGTTGTGGAGCATTGGTGTGCCATTTATAGGGATAAAATAGGAAGTGACAAGGCTTCATATCTCCTCCTCACCACCTATCAAATACCTCTTAAAAATGTTACAGATCGCTTTGTCAGAGGTGCAGCAAATTAGCCACACATCTAAACTTAGCCCTAGAGGAGGCTAAATTTAGATGTGTGGAAGAGAGAAGGATTGTATTATTATCCTTGTCAATTTAAACTGTTTTGACTATATAATTCTACAAATGTTTGGATTAAACTTTTTTGGGGCTTTTTTTTTTTTCCCTCATAGGGTGGAGATTTTACAAATCACAATGGAACTGGCGGGAAATCTATTTATGGAAGTCGCTTCCCTGATGAAAACTTCATACTAAAACATACAGGGCCAGGTAAGCCCATCTGTTGTGCACACACAATAGCAAATATTTGTATTGTCCTCAAATGATTTGCATTGCTCCCTCTGCGATTCAAGTTTATAATAAATGGCTCTGTAATTTTGTGCTATATACCAACAGTTCTGGAGGTACAAGTAGCTAACAGGGTGAAGTGTGTGTGTGTGTGTGTGTGTGTGTGTGTGTGTGTGTGTATTTTGCAGATTTTAATTTGGTAGATTATTGTATGAGAATGCTAGTGATTTGGAATTCTCTGTGTAGCCCACGCCAAAAGTGTCACATTCCATGACACAGGCAGCACAGTGTCTAAATGGTTAGCAATTCCGCCTGGCAGTGCTAGGGTTGTTGGTTTGAATCCCAAGCACGGCACCACATGCCTGTAGTTTGCATGTTCCCCCTGTGCCTGCTTGGATTTCCTGCGGGTACTCCAGTTTCCTCCCACACTCCAAAGACATGCTGGTAGGTTAATTGGATCCTGTCTAAATTGGCCCTAGTATGTGTATGTATGAATGTGAGTTAGGGACCTTAGATTGTACTCCCCTTGAGGGTTAGGGACTGATGTGAATGCAATATATATGTACAGTGCTGCATAAATGGACGGCGCCATATAAGTACCTATAATTAATAACATGGCCCATGCACAGCTGTGTCTGCCATCCTGGGCTTTTGCGCAACAGATCCACTTTTTTCGCTCCAGATTACTTTTTGTGCTTGTCATCTTTTATATCCGATCCAAAATTATTCTTTGCCAGTCTAATACTAACCACTACTTATTTTATTTTCTACATGTGTATTGTATATATTTCTATACATAAATTTGTTTTGTGGTTTTTTTGATGCGTTTTTGCTGTACAGTAATTTCCGGTTGCCTTTCTTTTTGTTTTTTTTTTTTTTTTTTTTTTTTTTTTTTTCTATAATGCTCTCGTTTTGCAGATCTTTCTAAGTTTGTTTTGTTTTTTTTTGTAATTTATTTAGGTATTCTCTCAATGGCTAATGCAGGGCCAAACACAAATGGTTCCCAGTTCTTTATCTGCACAACAAAAACTGGATGGTGAGTGTCTGAGCTTTTGAGTATAAAAGAATGAAAACCAAGCACACATCATTACAATCTAATAAACCATAAAAGTAAAATAATAAACTATAAAATAAATAGACTGCTAGTAAAAGTTCTATTATATTGTGGTCATACAATACAAACCATTACAAGCTACCATATTGTAATATATAGTATGCTACTTAACGCATACCATGTTCCATTGTTACTATTAAAAATGAGTCTATGGAAGTAACTCGCCAACACAATGAAAGTTATGTGGTCTTGAAGACTGGCATCTGTTTACATTTTTAGGGCGCAGAGAGAATGTCTTTGGGCCTAAGTGCAGCCAAAATAGAAATAAAAAAAAAAGTGCAAGGGACATAACTTAGAGTCAGTAGGATGTGCCCCCTTCTGTTAGTTGAAATCATCTTCTGTTCATGCTACCCCACTCAACCTTGCTGTCATAATCTCCCAGTGCAGTGGAATTATTACAAATAAGAGGTTATGCCCGCCTTTTCTGCCAAGCTGCTCCATTCATAGCAGCTGTATTTCAGCTTCTATGAATGAAACCGAATCTAAGAATGGAGGACAAACAGACGAATAAATGTCCTTCCCCCTCTATTTTATCAATCGTATTTCATTCATAAAGCAGTAGTATGGCTTCTATGAATATATAGATATAAAAAGGGCAATAACAGCTTCTGAGACCATGCATGCACCTACTTTTACCACGGTATACCATTGCATCTGTTGATATATTTGCTGAATAAATTTGTGATGATTTAATCTTCATAGCTGAATTTCGAGGGTATAGATGACGTGTATTGAATACTAATATATTTTGGTTGTGGCCATTGATTTGATCTACAAGGCAGCATATCATTATTGCATGTTCTAAACAATGTTAATGAGTATTTTGCAAAATGGTGTATAGTAATCATTACTGTTATTCTTTTTGCTAGGCTGGATGGGAAGCATGTGGTATTTGGCTGTGTAAAAGAAGGCTATGATGTAGTGAAGAAAATTTGAAAGTTGTGGACAGAAGAATGGTCGCCCTACAAAAAAGATTGTTATTGCAGATTGTGGAGAACTTTCATGATCTTCTTTCTTCCTTCTTATAAATGTGTCTGGCAGCTGTGAATTTCTTGTCCACATCTGAGCAAGCAGATGCAGTGCTACTTATCAGGGATCGAGAAATGTGATTTCTGCTCTCAGAGCCATAAGAACCAATATAAAACTAAAGTGAAAGACTAACCTTGGTACTACATTGTTTACCTCTTCCTGCCTTCCTGTAGCATAAAATGACTCTGCTCATTGTGAGCAGAAAGCGATGACCGTCAACACTGATCAAGACTACTGGATTGTCTGATGTTTTTAACACTGGATAAGCATGGTTGTGCTTGCATTGTGATTTGATGTTGTGGGGGTTTTTTCCCCCAAAATGTTTGCCAGGCTGGATAGCATGAATTGCTTAGAAATGTTCCTCTAATGTGAAAAACAATCATTTTTCCCTTACTCAATGATGAATACCTCAAAGCTGTCATACTGTGTTTTTTTTTTTTTTTTTTTTTTTTTTCTTTTTTTGCTCCCGGTGATCAGCGTTCACTTAACTCCGTTAGAACTCATCTTGCCTAATTTGATATAAGGGCAGACCTGAACAAGACCATTAAAAAAGAAGCATTGTAACTACCTATCACTTGCTATTACAAGTATTGGGCCATGAAGATGTACTTGTGCTCCAAGGCATCATATTTAACAAGCAACTTTTCCAGGGGACCTACATGTTACATTTAAGGCTGGATTTTCATTTATACATACTGGATGCATGGTAACACACATGTAAGTTTCACTTTGGGTTTGATTTACCAAAACTGGGGAGTGAAAAATCTGCTTCAGCTGTGGATGGTAGCCAATTGGCTTCAGCTTGTTCACATAACCACTTGAGCCCCTGAGGATTTACCCCCCTTAATGATCAGGCCTATTTTTGCTACTTGGCGCTGCACTAATTCAACTGATAATTGCGCGGTCATGCAATGCTGCACCCAAACTAAATTTACGTCCTTTTTTTCACACAAATAGAGCTTTCGGTGTAATTTGATCACCTGTGCGCTTTTTATTTTTCACGCTATAAACAAAAAAGGCCAAAAATTTTGAAGAAAAACAATATTTTTTACTTTCAGCTGTAAAAAATTATATAGTAAACTCCAAAGTTGGTTATATAAATTTAGGCCAAAATGTAAACTCCAAAGTTGGTTATAAATTTAGGCCAAAATGTATTCTGCTACATGTTTTTGGTAAAAAAAAATCCCAATAAGTGTATATTGATTGCTTTGTGTGGAAGTTATAGCATCTACAAACTATGGTATAGATACTGCAATTTACGCCATTTTTCTGCTATACAGCGCTGCGCTAGTTTAACGGACAATTGCGCGGTCATGCAATACGGTACATAAATGAAATTTACATTTTTTTTTTTTTTTTTTTTTTCCCACAAATTGAGCTTTCTTTCGGTGGTATTTGATCGCCTGTGCGGTTTTTATTTTTTGCGCTATAAAAAAAGGCTGACAATTTTGAGGGAAAAAAAACAATATTTTGGACTTTTTGCTATAAAACATGTCCATTAAAAAAAAAATGCAAAAATCAAATTTAGTCAGATTTCTGCCAAAATGCATTCTGCGACATCTCTTTGCAAAAAAAAATCCCAATACTTGTAAATTAATTGGTTTACGTGAAAGTTATAGCGTTTACAAATGGCGGGAAAGATACTGGAATTTTTAATTTTTTATTTATACTAATAATGGCGCCGATCAGCGACTTTTGGCGACCAGCGACTTATGGCAGGACCGCGGGACTGCGGCGGACATTTTGACACGGGGGGGGGGGGGGGGGGAACTGACTTGGGGTCACTGACATCCCCAGTGACACTAATACAGTGATCAGTGAAAAAAAACCACTGAAACTGTACTAATGTCACTGGGGAGGAAGGGGTTAACATTTTTAGAATTTGCTGTGTAAGGGGAGTGTTTTACTAGGGGGCGGGGGTGTGTACTGGATGGGGGGGAGGGAGGGGGAGCTGATTGAGGGAGAGAAACTCTGCAGCTTCTCACAAGCTGTCAGAGAACTGACACAGAACAAGGCTGTGTGTAAACAATGCAGCCCTGCTCTGTGTCAGCGATCACCATCAATCGCGGGGGAAAACGGACGGTAAAAACCGTCCGTGACCCATCGGCTGACACCCGCGGGACAGGTAGGGCGGGGGGGCGCGCTCGCGCGCTCCCTCTACCTGTTTTGAAGGCAGCCGTTTTAAAAACGTGCTTTTGCCTACGAGTGCCGCCCTGCCACCGTTTATATGCGGTGGCTGGGTGGCAAGTGGTTAAGCTTTGAAAAAAAAAAAAAAAAAAATGCAAGCTGATTGGTTTCAAGGCAGAGCACCACCAGATTTTGCACTCCCCAGTTTTAGCAAATCAACCCCCCCCCCCCCCTTTTTTTTTTTTTTTTTTTTTTTTCTTTTGTTTTTCAAACTAAACTACAATGCAAAGATGTAAACAGCCAAATGGGATTTCTAGCTGACATGCATTTTTTTTAATACACACAATTACAAGAGTTTTGCTCCATCAACATGAAAATTGTAAATCAGCCATTTTAAATAGTAATTTATTTTTCCTGAAAGTGAGAGCGCTTTTTTGAAGTGAAATATGGGAACTGCAATTGCTGGCATAGGTATGGTATCTTGCGGTGTTATCCCCACCCTTTTGTCTGTCCTGTCCAGTGAGTCAGTGCTGTGGAACAAGAATGCAGCCATTGAAGTCTGCCCTCCATACCATCTTGGCACATTTTTAAAATCAAGCCAGAATGGCAGTTCATATTTCTTTTGTTCATAGGATCTCTGTAAAGGTACATGCAATATACAAATGTGTTTAATATGGAGAACAAGCCATACGTATAGTTTTTTTTATGTTATTTGTAATGTCCTATGCAAAGTGGAGTACATACATATGCAAGCTTTGGCAGTCGTGCAGTTTTCAGGGGGCCTCCTGCCTGAGCTGTCATCCTATGCTGTGCACATGAACACAGAGTTCACAACAGACTTTCATGCTTGTAGAATTCAGTTTACTCCCCATCACTGCACAGGAAATTTAGCTTCCTGAGCACAAAATGGAATTATCATAGAAATATAGTTTAGCATTACATTTATTTTTGAATACAGACTGTGATTACATGCAGATTTGATGACAATTAAAAAATAAATAAAAAGGGTTTGTCTAAACACTTCAAAGTTAGAAACCTGAAAATCAAAAAGCCTTATGAGCTGCTATTCTGAGAATTCGATAAGAAGTATTTAACTATGCAGGTTTTACTATGACACGTGTGGTACTAATATATTGTTTTTGTCATGCAAAGGTTTCTTTATAATTTGGTATTTTTTGTTTATAAAATGTTTACAACCCTTGCACATTAAAACATGTTTTATTACAAAGTAGCAATGTTTGATTATTTTTTTTTTTTGTCAGAACCAGGGGTGGACTGACCATTTGGAAACCCGGGCACTGCCCGAGGGCCTGGGGTCAGTAGGGGACCCCATGAGATGCCCCTGTTACTTTTTTTTTTTTTTTTTTTTTTCTCATAGGCTTTTTTGAATTTGGGCAAGGACACGGGCCCCATGATTCCCCTATTGCCCGGGGGCCCCATGAGTTGTCAGTCTGCCCCTGGTCAGAACTGACTTTTTTGTTGAAATACTGCAGATCTGCTGTGTTATGTAATATCCAGATTAAAGTGGTAGTTAACTCATTTGAACAGAAAAAAAATATCATAATGTGCTAGGAGGCATCGAGTACTAGTACATTATGAAAGACTTTCCTTAGAACGAAGCCCTCCAGCGGCGCACTGTCCCCACTGATGGGGCTTCCATCTTCACCTGGTCATCTCTAAAGAAACAGCATGGTTATGCCATTCCTTCAGAGCTCATGTGACGGTGATGTCACTGGCTGCTGCGCTGTAGACTATCTCCTAAATGGTGAACATTTTAGGAGATATTAATTTTACCTACAGTAAGCTTTAATATAAGCTTGCCTGTAGGTAAAAATATAAAACAAGAGTTTTACTACCACTTTTGGTGATGAGTGGTTGGGTTTCATAAATACAGTTGTGCTCAAACGTTTGCATACCATTCTAGAAATTGTAATATACAGTATAATTTTTAAAGAAGGTGAGCAGGCAAAAAACATTTCTTTTCTTATGGGATTTATATTTGACTGTAGGCCATTACAGAATGGCACAATCCTAAAACAAAACATGGCAACAAATTAAATGACCCCTGTTCAAAAGTCTGCATACCCTTCATTCTTAATACTGTGTATTTCCTCCATTCGCATCAATGACAGCATGCAGTCTTTTTGTAATATTTCTTGCAGGTGGTATAGCTGCCCATTCTTCTTGGCAAAATGCCTCCCATGTCATGCAAAGTCTTGGTTATTTTGCATGAACTGCACGTTTAACATCTCCCCAGAGTGGCTTGATGATATTAAGGTCAGGAGACTGATGGCCACTCACTCACCTTCACGTTTTTCTGCTGTAACCACTGGAGGGTCAACTTCCTTGTGCTTAGGGTCATTGTTGTCCTGGAAAGCCAAAATCATCCCATGCACAGCTTTCATACAGAAGAATGGAAGTGGTCTGCAGTATTTTCTGATAACATGCTGCATTCATCTTGCAATTAATTTTCACCTTTTAGCCTAAAGATGCCCTAAACATGAGTGAGCCTCCACCATTCTTCACAGTGGAGATGGTACTCTTGTCCACTTGTTGACCCCTCTCCAAACAGCGTTTATGGTTGTGACCATAAAGCTCTATTTTGGTCTTGTGACTTCAAATTAGTGTGCCAGAAGCTGTGAGGTGTGTCAAGGTATTGTCGGGCATATTTTAACCAGGCTTTTTTTGTGGCATTGGCACAGTAAAGGCTTCTGTCAACTCGACCATACAGTTCATTTTTGTTCAAGTATCATCCTATTGTGCTCCTTGAAACAACCACG